GCAACGGCTGAATTAGCGCCTCTTCCCTGGAGGTTTGCGGGCTTCGCCAGGAGCAGGCGGTCGAAGCTTCCCGCTGAGGATATGGCCGCTGACTTTGGCAGCTGGGGAGAGCCAGGTGAGCTCCCGGTGCGTGGGCGGCCTCGCGGGGTGCCCGGCTGCTCCCTGTCCCTGGGGGGCTGTTCGGAGGGAGCCGAGACCCTCCTACCCTCTCCTTTTCAGTGCTTGGAGTTGATCCATAAAAAGATACAGGGAATCCTGACACCTACAGCTGAAGCAACGAGGGTGCTTTTCTTCTAACTCTGCTAGTATTTGCTGGAGTAAATAACAGCATTAAAAGCTACATTGTAGTTGGTAAAAGATTTGTAGCTATAAGTTATTAGTGAGGACAATAGCCAAAATTGCCTACTGTGGTCATGACCCTCCTAGTAATGAAATTACAGCATGTGAGAGGTTAAAAAAGTAATCTTTTCAGTTATTCATGAAACTTGCTAAGCATGCTGAAGCTAGTTTTTGTAAATACAAGTTATATGTTTTAAGTTGGATAATTTTAAGTTAAAGCAAAACACATTAGAACATATTTTAATTGTGAACGGAACATAAGCAGAAATTTTACCTGCAGAGTTTGTGATTCTATGAACAAGTGAATTCATTTATCCCAAGAAGTTTGGGCTTCTATAAATAATTGAGTGGATGTATCACAAGAATGTTGCACACCTGAAACTTTGCATTGCAGGAAGCAGAAACAGGATTGCAGAGCAAAAAGTGTTAACAAGACACAGCTGATAATTACCTTGACTTTTATGCTAATAGCTAAAAGCTTAACTTGTGTGGTAGCTCTGAGTGGCCAAAGGTGAAGGACCAGCTTTGGAAACTGCAAAGAAACTCTCTAGAAGAACAGTTTCTGATGAAGAACAGAACTAATGGGCTCATCCTGACTCAGAAACCCTAGTTTGATTTTTGCTTAAATATTTACTATACTATGGTTTGAACTATCGTGATTGATTTTTTTTTCCTATATATTTGGCATAATGTGTTGTTAATTATTTTGGCATGTATATAAACCTCTGATCAGGTCCTCTGTGGAGTGACAACAGTGGTCTCTATGAGGAGCTTAATTATGTCTTTGGAAAATCATGTATCACTTTCTAAAAGGAACTTAATGAAAGCTTTGTAATTACTTTGCGTGTCACTTAAAATACAACTTTTGAGGCCTACTCTAAATTGGACACATGGATGCTCTTCCTGAATGTGAAATCAATTTTTTAAATGCAAAATGCATGTAAAATTCCTTTAAATAGTGCTAAATTTGCTTTGTCATGTTAAATATATAGCTGTGAGGGAGTTTTCTGTTATAATGGGCTCTGTTCCCTGGGTCTGGATTTTAAGTTGAATGCCTTTTAGTTGTCAGGAGTTAATCCTACAATTGAGAATTTAGTTGTGCCTTGGTCTGATAAACACAAAATAAACACAGCTCTTATCAGAATATAACTAATGAATGTCCATTGAAAGTCAGTACAACTGTAAGTGGTGCCTAAGGCTTCTCTGGATTTGCCTGGCAAAGTGCTTTGCCTGGCTGGGTCAGCTATGTCTGCCTTTACTGCTCCTTGACATCTTTTCAAAGTTACCCATTTCCCTCCCCCTGTTTCTTTCCAATAGTTTCCTTTAGCTGATTGAACTGCTGAAAAACCTGTGAGGATGTGCACTGAGGGGCATGTGTATTGCCTGGGGGTTTCTGCATATGTTTGAATGCTCAGGTTCTGTTGTCAGTGAAGCTCTTTCAAACTTTGTCAATTGCTTATTCAAAACTGTAGGGTCCAGTTCCCAACAGCACTTTAACTGTCAAATATTCAGTTAACTGCATTGGCCACACAGGGTGCTACTCCTGCTCAAGGGCTTCATAAGCCATTAAGATTGTGCCACATGCATATGTGGGTTTTTAGGCCAAAATGTAATCTTTCAAATTTCTAAAATAGAAAGGAAAAACTATGGAAGAAATTTAATTAATTTGTTGGAACACAAGCTCTATGGGCTTGTTGAACTCTTATTTTTATGAAAATAATTGAAAGCATTTTATGAAGCATGTTTTGTGCCTTTAGTCTATCATGTTGTTAAGCAGGTGCTTAATATAATTAAGCCAGTACTTAAAAGACTGCTAGTGCTTAATATAAATAATGGTTCATGCTGTATGTATCATTCTTAACTGCATTTTTCAGATCACAGGCTAAACACAGCTTTTGGGCAGTATGAAACAGAAAAGTTTTTGAGAACTACTGCTGAGCAGGTATGTGAACTGAGGGATTTTAGTGGTATTTTTTTTGTGCTGAAGTAATATATTATATCCTTGTTTATCTGCTGCATTAGAAGTATATCTCACTTCAATGTTGTCTTTCCTATCTGTGGGTCAATCACACCACTCAGGTGTGGCTTGTACTTCTTACCAAGTAGGAAGAGAATAAAACTGCACTGTTTTTTGCACATTTTCAAAAGTTTAATTCATAGTAATATATCCCAGGAGAATAAATGGTTTCTGCTGAGTACCCATTTCACTTCTATGGACTTCCCTTTTCTAAGAGAATAGTCTTATGTGGAGATAACTTTGTGTTATGTTCCATAAGCCTGACTGATTATTTGTGCAGAAACTAGGACATCTGCATTTTTCTGATACTCAAATACATAGAAATGAATTTAGCACTTGGACAAAGCCTTAATAGTACTTCAAAGAATGAGATGATTTCTTTTTGGATGCAGTTATGCTTTATTTCAGAGCACCTCCAGGAATGGAATTGGTGATAATTCTTTTTCAAGTTGATGCAGCTTTCCAGAATTTTGGGGTATAAATGTGAAGCTGATTGCATGGTACACTATCTGTGCTTACTCCACAGAGATAACAAGCAGCTTTGGGTAATGTGCAGAAATCTAAAGCTGCCTGCAGTGTAAATATTAACATGTAAAGTATTCAATTACAGGAAGATGTCCTTGAACCTGATGCTTTGTCAGGATCCAGAAGGATGAGGCAAAGGTAAATGCAGTTTCACATAAGTGAAGTTTCACATAGTGCAGTGGGTTACTTGGAAGACTGTAATGTACTTTTAAAAGTACAAATATCCAGAATAAGCTGGGTTTATGTACAGGTGTTCACAGTTCTGATTTGTGAATAGGTGTCTGCAAAAGTTTTCCCATAGCCTTTTTATGGAGGACTTGTAAACTAAAGGGTAGTGGATGAATGAAAGAATTATTCTAAATTGTAAAAGAGATGAGATAGTATGGATCTAAGTAGCACAAGTAACTGTCTATTGTCTGAACTAATTGTCTACTGTCTTGCTATGCTAGTGTATAAATGGAAGTTTTCTGCAAGGCCATTACTGAACTGCTTAATAGTAATTGTAATTTCCTTTTTGTAATATGAAAATAGCATGCCCTTTCTTGACTACTGCTCTTTTTTTAAGGCATTATTGCTCTCTATTATAGAGTTTTTGGAGTATTACCATTAATTAGAGAAAAAAATTGGAAGCAAAAAGTATGCAAATTTAACCACATTATTTTACATTGTCTTGTAGTATACTTAACTGCTGTGAAAATGGCAAACTCCAGGATTAAATCTTTGTTTTACTTCTGCGGTGAATAGAAAATGTGGGTGGTATATTAGTGTTAATGCTTCTTTATAATGTCACATGTTCTAGTTCTGGTGTGCTGGAATTTTGCTGTTAATGATCATGCTTTGAAATAGTAAGTATTTGTTAATATATTTTGACTTTGGGATAGAAAAGAGAAAGAATAGGAAAGTGGCTGTTTTGTTCAGTTCTCTAGGGGGTTGTAAAGTAAATTATCAGGAAAATGTTTTGGCATTTATGAAATGATTTCTAAGCATGCTTTTCCACTTTTTAGCTTTTCCCTTCTAATTGCACAGTATGATAAGCATTTGGAAGAGACGAGTGAACAGCTGCAGCTTTATCAGGTATGGATACTATCCTATTTCATGTTATAACTTAGACCTTTTTTATCACTGTGTTGTGATTTCCATGGGCTGCCTGAAAGTGAAGGGACAACTTCTCATAAAAATGGTGGGATTGTCCACACTGGTCAGTTTTGCTTGGAGTAGTAGTACTGTGAAAATAAATATGCATATTCTATTTCTGTGCTATCAGTGTCTTGGATGATACTCAGGTGAGGAAGCTGAGCTTCTCCTAAAGGGACCTTTCTCTTACTGGTCTGATCTTGGCTGTGCAGTCTGTCCTGCAGATGTAGATACTTTGAGACTTCTTCAAATGCTTACCCGTTATTTTTGGTGGAGGGACTGTCCACCATTCAAACCACAGAAAAAAGAAGGGTTATAAAAGGGCTTTATTTTTTTCAGAAAATCCAAAAGCAAGATGGAAGTAGGAAAAGTGACATACTGTATACTACTTAGTGTAGTATGTTTCACCTCTCCTTATTTTTTAATTTTTATTGGAGTATTATCTATTGGATAGTAGCCTTGTATTTCTAAAAACTTGAATTAATTATATGAAGTGTAAAAAATTGAAAAGCTGAGTTTAGTAGCGATTGCTAGCAAAAGAAAAATGATCAAACTTAGCTTTCTTACCAGGACTTAGCAACCATTAAATTTAAGTGTTAGCCTGTGACTTTTCTTACCAAAAAAGTTAATTTACTTTAGTATAATCAATTAAATTGTCCATCTTTTACAGTTGAAATAATGAAGAAATTAAACTTAAATATCATTTAAATGAACTCAAATATTTTTGCTTTAGGCCCAGATGGGTGAGATGAGACTAAAATTTGAACAAGTCACCAAGGAAAATGAAAGGTAAATACCTATTGCTCTACTACAATGGACTTCTTTTTTCTAAACCTTAAAAACATTTCTCTGGGGCTTATAATTCTTTTAAATCTAATTAAAATAGATGAAGATCTTATGTCTAGAGTTAGAATTTTCAAGATTTTCATATGTATTACAGCACCAAATTTAGGAGCTTAAGCCATATGTCTGCCTAAATGTATGCTAAACAGTTTCAAAATGTTTACCATGCTTATAGAATATAATGATCCATTTACATGCTGTATAGATGTAAATAGTATGTAGCAACTGAAAGTTTGGTACTTCTATTCAAAAGTTCCTGTTGAGGAAATAATTTGCTACACATGATTCTTTCAATTTAAGGCTTCATGCAGACTTGAAAGAGGCTGTTGAGAAGCAACTGGAGGCTCTTCCCTCTTCTGTGTTTATGGGGACTGGTGTTTCTGCAGATGAAGAAATAGTGAGAAATCTTCAAGAACAGCTACAGCTGGCCAGTCAGGTTTGAAATAAAACATTTGCACTGGTTTATTGCTCATGTAGCCCCTTGGCAGACTAGGGGAAACAATTTCATTTCTTGGTTATGATTTTTTATAACAGTTTCTTGAGACAATTTTGAGACCCTATTGATTTTTTTTCTGTAGGTGAAGAAACAAATGCTTACACTACTGACTTCAACTTGAAAAATTGTTGGTTTTGTATCCTCAGGGAGACTTTCATATTTTGTGCTGGTAGTTTCTGAGCTGACCACTTAGTGCTGAATTCCTGTCCAAGAAATAAAATTGTGCTTGCTTCAATTTATTGTGGTTGCTTGTCATTGACTAGCATATTTGATCAAAAACATTGTCATATGAAATGAGACAATCATATGTGGAATACTGATATTATTTCAATGTTATTACAATGATGCATTAATCACATTTCACAGGACTAAATAGATGTTAATCTGAAGGATGAATTTTGAAGTTTTAATATTGTATATTTTAATATTGAATATTGTGTTTATAATAAGCTTAAAGTGTAGCTATAAAGCTTGAAATTAACAGATTCCTAACTCAGTGGAGCTCTACTTCTGGGAAGAGCTGGTAAAGATTATGGAGTAAGGGGAATGTGATTCCCTTCTAGATAGAATTCTTCTTGCAAGTGTCTTAGTCTAGCTATTTCTGAATTTGATATTTCATGTGGCTGCAAAATCAGACAGTATAGAAGGCAATTTTTCCTTTAAAGGTTAAGATTTATCTTTTTAGAGAATAGTATATATTGCTAAATGTACTCTGATAGAGTATTTTATATAGACAATCATGTTTTGCATCCTTCTAGGAAAAAGAACAAGCGCTACAACTCTGGCAGTCTGTATCAAGGGAATTTGATCAACTCCAGCAGCAGTACCAGCAACACATGACCGAAACACAAATTCATGTGGCTGAAAAGAAAAAGCAGAAAGTAATTGTCATCTATATTTATTTTGGGAAATATTTCAATACTGTAGAGGTTCCTAGGGTGTGTTGCATCTTCTGCCAGTAATTAGTTTTTTGTAGTACTTATCTAAATCAGTGCTTAGATGTGATTGTCAACTCATAAAATAATTGTACAGTTACGAGTGGAAATTGAAAAGTTTATTTCACATGTCTATGGAGAGTAGCTTAGGGAATGTAACTAGAACTGATTGCTATAAGGGTTGGAGGAGCTGGAATAGATTTCCTTGCACAGGGTTATTTAGATATTCCAGTTTTGGGCATGCCTTGCAGATGCATGGTATCATAAAGATGAGTTTATTTTAATTAATGTTCCTTGAAAGGTAGAAATCAAGCCTGGGGGCTCAAGAGTTTAATTGAACCATGTTAAGTGTGGACACATGATGTTCTGATCTTGCTAAGAGCTGATTAAGCCTGTCATATAAGCATTTTTATTCTTAGGGGGTGTGTGTCTGCATATTTTCTTAGCAGAAATCATGACAGTAATTGTTTAGTTTGTGTTGCTATATGGAGGCTATGCTTAAATAAGTTTTCATATTTTGATAGCTAACTATAGACTGTGGGAGGAGGCAATTTGCAACAGTAAAATTTGGATACAATTTTCATTTGTAAATCTGAACTTGTCAGGTTACTAGGTCATCAGCTAAAAATGGCCTAATTCAAATCTGCAAATATGCATTGGACTTCATACAACAGACATATATGTTTTGAAAATATTTTAGGTTGGCTCTGCAACTATGTTAATTGTCCTCAATGATGAGAAGCTGTGAATTTTCTTTTTAGGATCAACTGACTGGCTTTCAACAGCTGACTCAGCAACTGCATGTAGCCAATGAGAAAATAGAGTTGGTAAGTGAAACTACCTGGTCAGTGATCACTTGAGTAATATTTTTCTGCTGGAGCCTCAAAGTGTAGGATAAAAGCAAAAAGACCTTATAACATGTAGCTATTAAGAAAAGAACCCATGCAGCTTGGATTTGAATTTGAAGTCTCCTCTAAGGACTGGTTATTTTGTGTGGTTCTTGACTGATGTTTGTGAGAAATGCTGCTGGTGCTGAACACTCAACCTACCCTAGGCAGTCTAGGTCCCTTTCCATCTTCTGTACTGGAACCCTTTTTGCTACTGTCTGCCCTCTTTCTTGGTTCAATTTAGGCACACTTCTGAAATATTGTAGCTGTGAAGGAAAGATTACTTTATTCTTTGAAGTATCTTTTGTTATTGAAAACTATTACATTGGCATGTCTTCCCTGCCTCCCCTCACCCCCTCTTCTAGCCAAAGCAATGGGTGGTTCATCTGAGATGCTCATTGCCACAACGGACTCTAGATGATAGGGTAGCTAGATAGGATTTTAACAGCTCTACATTTACTATCTCAGGCCATGCTCACACTACCAAAATACGTGGAGTGAAGGAAACAATGAAGTGACATCACTCGGCATCTGACTTTTATAATATTCTACAGAAGCCTTAGGACTTAGGGACCAGCCAGTGTTAAATAGATTTTTACCAGCTATTTTTATGGTGTTGTATTCTGTAGAAGTGTCCTCTAACAAGTTTGAACACGTGTCACTTCTAACAAAACACAAAATGTGTTACAAATCTCTCCTTGTTTTGCAGAGCAATCAACAATTTCTGAAAACACTAACAGAACAGAATGTTGAGCTAGAGCAACTGCGCAAACAACTGAGGTATAAAGCAGGCTATTTAAAAATTGTTTGGGCATCTTTTCCATGCCTTTTTTTACTGACTGTTGTATCACAGACCTTATGTGCTGTCAAACTGATGGGATGATGATAGCCATTATGATTTAATTCCTCTTAAGTTTATTAAAAATGTGTATATAATTATTGATAGTGTAGGTTGATACTTCCAGCTAGCATTATTTCATTCAGCTTGTGGAAATATTGAATGCCTTTCACTTTTGATTTAAAAGGAATAGGGTTCAGTATTGTAACAAAATGGATTCTGCAATGCTTTTAGAAGACATTGTTCACCAAACCCAGTTGTATGGGTAGTTAGTTATCATTTATAACATGAAATATGGATGTTACCAGTTGAAGCTTCTCTTTTAATATTCATTAATAAAACTTCCATTCACTATTTCTAGATGAGCTGTAAACAATAGGTGTCACGGAACGAGTGGTGGTGAGGGGCGAGTGACACAATGCACTTCACTTGTGGGAAAGAAATAGGAATAGGTTTTATTGGTAATGACAATGGTTTCACGAGATTCTATGGCAAAGTCACTTATTAGTTACTGCATGGAGATTCAAGATATACACAGAATTATCAAGGACACCCTCCCGTTGGGTCACGAGGTTCAGACTGGACCCCCTTGCTTTCCAAACTCCTTCTGAGAGGAGTCTGGGTGCGGCTGAATCCAGTCCTAGTCCCAGACCTGGGCAACGGTTTATGACTAAGGGATTTGTGCACAGTTACAAAGT